ATGAAGGAATGAATACAAAAAAAGATAGGGTTTGTGATGATGAGTCTTCGTCATCATGAGATGAGATGGGATAATATGAGATGAGATGAGATGAGATGAGATAAGATGAGATGAAATTATCACAATTTATTTCTACCACCACCCCCCAACCCACTCCCCCCAACAAAACAACAAACAACAACACCTACAACACCTACAACAACTACAACAACTACAACATCTACAACAACAACAACGACCACTTCCGCTTCTGATGTCGTTGACGACAAAAAGAACAGACAAAAAAGTTCATTTTAAACCTGCTGTAACGGTCACCTGTCCAAAAACAATGACCTGTACAGACGACAACATCCCATTTTATGGTATGTCATAATTACACCATCCATGGCGTCCGTCTGTCTAAGACAACAACTAAGCTAGAATTCTTACAATCATCGTCATAAGCTAGGATTGTTACAATCATCGTCATAAACTAGTATAGGATTGTTACATTCATCGTTGTAAGCTAGGATTATACAATCATCGTCATAAACTAGGATTGTTACAATCATTTTCGTGATCTAGGATTATACAATCATCGTCATAAGCTAGCGTATGACGATGATTGTAACCTGAAATAATCCTAGCTTATGACAATGATTGTAACAATCCTAGCTCATGACGATGATTGCAACAATCCTAGCTTATAACGAATATTGTAACAATCCTAGCTTATGACAATGATTGCAAAAATCCTAGCTTATGACAATGATTGTAACAATCCTAGCTTATGACAATGATTGCAACAATCCTAGCTCATGACGATGATTGTAACCATCCTAGCTTATGACAATGATTGCAACAATCCTAGCTTATGACGATGATTGTAACAATCCTAGCTTATGACGATGATTGTAACCATCCTAGCTTATGACGATGATTGTAACAATCCTATCTCTGACGATGATTGTAACAATCCTAGCTTATGACAATGATTGCAACAATCCTAGTTATGACAATGATTGCAACAATCCTAGCTTATAACGAATATTGTAACAATTTTAGCCTATGACAATGATTGTAATAATCCTATCTTATTACGATGATTGTAACCCTCCTAGCTTATGACGATGGTTGTAACAATCCTAGCGTATGATAATGATTGTGACAATCCTAGCTTATGACGATGATTGTAACAATCCTAGCTTATAACGAATATTGTAATAATCCTAGCTTATGACAATGGTTGTAACAATCTTAGTTTATGAAGATGATTGTAACAATCCTAGCTTATGAAAATGATTGCAACAATCCTAGCTTATGACGATGATTGCAACAATCCTAGCATACGACGATGATTGTAACAATCCTAGCCCCGTACCTCAATCTCCTCCCAGATGCTCTTGCTGCCCGTCGAATTGTCCGCGGAGCGGCGCTGTCGGTGTAAAGGGACATAACTGTCTGTGTCGTCTGCTCCCTCGTCGAGCCACGGAAACTGGCCCTCGCCCGCCGACAGGAGGTGCCGGCTTGACCACTGGTCACCGTGTGGGATCTCTGTGTCAGGTTCCCTCACAGCCGCTGATGCTGCGACTATTTCTGTGAACAGGTAACCTGTGGAATGTGGCTACCTTAGAATTGCAAAGTTCAAAGTGACATTTTCGGCCGTTTTTGAGTTACTAAGACCATGAGGTCAGAAAGAAAATAATGTTCTATATAATCTATCAAAATCGTAACATTATTCGCAGTCATTATCAAAATGAAGAAACTTGCATTTTTCCGCAGGTTTGTGAATTTTTATCAGCTTTTTGTTTTTTGGCTCAACACCTTTCGTGCCCATTAAAGAACCCATTTCTGTGTGGATTTTTCTGAAAAACAATGATTAAAGGCATAAAAAATGTAAATTGTCAGTTGACACTGACTCTTAAGCTAAGGAAATAACTAATCTTTGACGGCCATTTTCTCACAAACTTTACCGTTGAAAACAGGTGACCCCCACCTCCTTCATTCGCAAATATCTCGACTTGTATTCAAGATAAATGGATACTTTTTTACCCAAATAAAGACAAGTAAACAAGCTATAAGATGATACCAATAACAAGCCCAAAAGTTGACGAGAGCCTGATTCCACCGCGCTGTCTCACAAATTTACATTTTTTAATGTGCTTTTCAACAACGGTTTTCCCAGTAAATTCCACACAGAGATGTTTTTTTGAATATACATTAAAAAAAGGGAGTTGAGCACTAAAAAACTGCCCTCTAGGATGGAAAATGTTGTTTCCTTTGATTTCATTATTTTGACAGGAGCCTGATTTCACCACAATGCCAAACATTTCCCCCCTGTTTTTGTTGTTGTTTTTGTTGCTGCTGCTGTTGCTGTTGTTGTTGTTGTTGTTGTTGCTGTTGCTGTTGCTGTTGTTGTTGTTGTACTCACCGCTTGCGACCAGAAACGTGAGCAGAGTGAGCACCGCCTGCCGTGCGAGGTTGCCTCCCCTGTGTATGGTCGTCATGGCGGTCTGGAAATGGGGAAAAAATAATTATTGTTTTAGTTTATGTAGGACTTTGACGGCACTTGCAACACAATGGGGTCATATAAGTGCAGGCGATTACAGGTATTATCAGAGAGAGACACAAACACAAAAAAGAAAGAGGAGAAATCCGGACGATAGAATATGTTTGATGGGACCATGACCAGGACCATCAGTGATTTATTTATAGAGGCACCAACCATCCTTGTCCAGGTGCTATTTTAGCCTCCTTTTCCTGTATGCGGATTAATAATATCTTTTTGCCAATTTATTGTTTCTGTTTCTATGTACCCCATGTCTATGGTTATCAGCCTGGAAATCGCCTATAATTCGCATGTTTGATGGGAAAGAAGGAGGAAAAGACACCAGAGCACACATCGTCCACCCACGAAAATATGGGAGTGTGTGTGTGTGTGTGTGTGTGTGTGTGTGTGTGTGTGTGTGTGTGTGTG